AAAAACTTCAGCAGAGATCAGCGAGCTCTTTAATTTCACCACTGAAAATTTCTGACATTTCGAGAAGAAAATTTCCGGCGCACGATTCGAAGTGCTGTCATTCTGTCATGGACTTGCGTCAAGAGAAAACTCTGGCCCCGCCCCTCTCGACCGCCACTGATTGCTGCGCTCGTTTTCCCAGTCTTAAGGACAAAGCTTTGACTTTGGTCGTCTCTGATAACAGGGCCACTCTTCTTAGCGATCGCGTGTCCTTAGAATACCATATAACAATATGCCATTTTTAAAACCAGCATCACTTGCAAAGGTCAAAGGTATGTACACCGAGGGCCCTCTACATACAAAGGAAGGTACAAGACAACTGTTGGGGGGAAGGATGGAGACTGCGACAAGACCGACCACAAAAAACAACATGAAAACACAATTGGTCGCTTTTAAGGAAGCAAAATACTGAAACAATAGAAAAACAGAAGCAAAAACAGAAACGGAAACGAAAACACTCACGGAATCGGAGGCTGTGTCACTGTGCCTGAACGGCTTCCGTGTGGTGTCTAGACTCATGGTTCTGGGGAGTTCTGGAGTCAACGTCCGGGGTGTTAGGGGGTGAAAGGGGTGGGGGGTGGGGGTGGGGAGAGGACCCTCAGGAGGATGAGTCCGTGTGTGTAGTGTTGTGTCCACCGTCGATAAGTATTACTACAACGACAACGACAACGACGACGACATCAGCAGCCACAAACTAGAGGCCGAAGAATGCATGGATCCGGCGCGGCTTGCGGCGACAACAGTGTGTGTCCAGTTCAGGGCAGCGACCTAGACAAAGGTCGACTGGCTCATGATCTCTACTGTAATGAAGGCCTGATCTTACAACCTAGAACGAGAGAAACAAACAAGCAGGTCAAAACCCAGAAAATAACAGGGGGGGTGGCAACAATCCTTTTGCCTTAAATATGAATGTACTTGTACAATTGTAAGCGTGCAGCTGAAGAGTTCACTGACAACACAATCGTCATTCAGTAATAGGAAAGTTTATGTAAATAAGACGACAAAGAGAAGAGAAGGGGTTAAAGGTCACAGGTATGTACATTGAGGGCCCTCTAAACACAAAGGAAGGTACAAGACAACTGTTGAGGGAAAGGGTGGCGTTTGAGACAAGACCGCTCACAAAAACAACGTGAAAACACGATTGGTCGCTTTTCAGGACAAGTGGGCTATCCCGCAAAATGCTGTTTTGAGAAAATCGAAGGTAAAGTTTTTGCCCCTTGTTCAGTTTCTTTTAAATACAAAGAGAGTTTGTTTTGTTTTTCTATACCCAAACAAATATACACACCAATGAAACCAAACTTCTCTTATAGGTAGGGCAAAGCCCAATTTCGATGCACGTCAAGATTTCTGGAAACCCCTGAAATCTGGGTTAGCCCGCTTGTCCTTAAAAACGACCAAATACAAAGGAAGGTACAAGAAAACCGTTGAGGGAAAGGGTGCTATCTGCGACAAGACCGACCACAAAGACAACATGAACACACAATTTGAACACTGCAGACAAGTCTGGCTTCCTGTCAGAAAGCGACGGTGAGAGAGCGAGAGGGAAAAGAAGAAGGCTGGACAAGAGAAGGCGAGGGAGATACAGGGGATAGGGACAGAACAAAAGGAGAAAAAAAGTCAGAAAGAGAGAGAGAAAGAGAGAGAGAGAGAGAGAGAGAGAGAGAGAGAGAGAGAGAGAGAGAGAGAGAGAGAGAGAGAGAGAGAGA